TGGAGTGTCTGGGGTCGTAAGAGCAGCGCGGTGTTCATCATGGACAATATTGCCTAGGGTATCTGACAAAGATGAGAGGGAGGCTTTCGGTGTGGGGTGGGATTTTCTCCTTCCAGTTAGTTGATTCAGCACTGTTGTTGTTGTTGTTGTTGTTGTTTATTTTACTTCGCAGATTCTAACGGGCAAGTTGCCCAATAACAAGAAAGCGAAGGCCCATTGGAGTCTAGGATTTCCTGTAGCGGCACTGAACTTATCTTTGTAGTACACACTTTTCAGTTTGCGGTTTAGTAAAGTTCCTTGATGACGTATTGCACGATACTGCTGTCGGAGGCGGTCATCCATGGGGTGCTTTATTAAGGCGCGGTGGGCTGAGCTTCGTCGATGAAACATCTGTTTCAGCTCTGGGGTGACCCAGGGCAGGGGGCGGGGTTTGGAGTAAGTTTCACGCTTCTGGGTAACGAACGGTGCAAGATCATCTAGTACTGTCATGACACTTTGTTGCCAGTGGCTTGCCGCTGCATTTAGAATATAACCGCCGGATACATCTGAGGGGTCAAGGATGTGTGTGAGAGCTGCAGACGTTACACTACGGTCAAGGTGAGCCAGGCTAGGTTGGCGTCTTCGAGAGAATTGCTCGTGTGGCTGTTTAAAGTTGGCTCCACTAACACGGACAGAGAGGCCAGTAAGATGGTGGTCGGACAGGCCATCGACGCTGTGAACAAATGTACTATGAAGAGACATGGGAGAGGGAGACGGAGCAGCCGTTGTCATTGTTGTCGGTATGAGTGCAAGGTCTAGGCATGACTGACTAGGAACTCTGGTGGGCTGTAGTATGACGTTTTGTAAGCTGTGGTCAGTGCAGAGGCCTTGTACATAGCGGGCGTTTGGGTGAGGTGGGACAGAGAGCATGTTGACATTGTAATCACCGAGGAGGTGGATGTCCGGACATGTTGCGGAGGCCATCTGCACGCTATTATCGAGCTGCTCCCAGAAATCCACATGGCTGTCAGGAGCGCGGTATACACAGCCGATGGATAGAAATGGATTCGTTCGGCTATGGGTGTGCAACCCAACGAATATGGTCTCTAGCCTGTCGTTTACTTGAAGTTGCCTGGATTTCAGTTGTTCCTGCACATACAAAGCAACGCCGCCACCCTTCCTGCGAACAGCTCGGTCCCGGCGATAGAGAGTGTAGGCTGTTATAGCAAGATCGCAATTCATCACAGTAGAGTCCAAGCATGTTTCACTGATTGCTAGCACATCAATTCTGTACTTGTACATTATGCAATAGATTTCATGAGTTTTATTTCTTAGGCTACAGATGTTGATGTGGGCGATGGTTAAGCTCTTGATGGGTGAAGACGGACAATCAGGCACTGTTTGACTGGATGGATAGTTACAAGGATTTCTTAAAATGTTAGGTGCCGGGTCAGCGACGACATCTGTTGCTCGGAGATGAGGTGGAGTAGCTGAGAGGGAGTGTTGCTGGTGATTACTTGGACACCCTGATGAAACCTATTGTGTTGCTAGCTCATCGATTTCAGTTGCACTGTATGGGGTGCCATCTGGGTTCAAAATCTCATAAGTACGGTAGCGAGCAACGGATCTCCTTTTGGCGGAGTACCTTATACCTTGGCAGGGCCTGTCGTCTAGCAATCTGCTGTTGCTTGGTCAGGTCGTTATTCACGTACACATCTTGATTATTCAGTTTCAAATCCAGACGTTTACGGTACACTGACAGCTTGGCCTCGTGGCTTTTCATGCGTAGCCTCACTGGCCTGGCCTTGTCCTGTACGGCTTTGCTGGCGGAACCAATGCGCTCTGCAGAGAGTATTTGGTCAGCACTAATCTGGAGGAGCTGCTCACATCTGGATGACAGTGCTACGCTGTCCTCATTGTCCGCTTCGGGGATGCCCCTGAGAATAAGGTTCTCCGACCTCTTTACCCTCTCCACCTCCTCTGCTATGACCTCGGCAAGCTGCGTTGCACTGTGGCTCCCAGCTGTCTGCCACGCGTTTCCACGTGGTGCATTGCTTTGCACCGCACTCCTGGTACGGTACGCAGGGTCATCATCTCGAGTACGGAAAGTCCTCTCCATCTCCTCCACTCTCACTTCAAACTTCTCTCAAAGAGCGATTTTCCGCCATTACACTTTCTAGCTTCAGGGAGATTTCTTGAAAGATGCTGTTTACTCTCATACTCATATCCTTCTGCTCCCGCAATATCTTGTTTGATGTGCTGCGCATTGACGCAGTGTCGTCTTGCTCCGCCTGGCTCCCGTCATAACAGGTGTTGTCAATTTGCTGTCGCAGGCCGTCAGGAGGCGAGCGATCCGCCGCGGGAGACTTGCTGCTCAACCTCTCAGGAGTTTGGTGAAGAGAAGACGACTTCACACCTGTAACTGCTACTGGCAGCCTGCTTGGCTGACTGGCTGGCATGCTGGGGGAGAACAAGGGGGGACTTTGACCAGAGCTCAAAAACCTGCAACCAATTCCTACGTCACAAATCTGGAACATCTTCATGAGCGCAGCACAGAGGAAATGAGGCCAAACCTGGTGGCAATGAAATTTTTTCCAAAGCCCTATTTAAATAAACCAAGCCCGAACGTACCCTGTCGTAGTGCTCAAACTGACAAGTCAGTGAGCTCCAGGATAACGCAAACGGAAAAAGCGCTACCTCACACAAGCGTACTCAACTGCTACATGAGCAGGAGCGAAATCCTCAATCTGCGAACAGACCTGTTTCGTCCTTTGTTGACTCATCAGTGCAGCACAGAGGATTTTTATTTATTTATTTTTACAAGAGCCACGTTAACCCGTCATGTGTGAGCCATGAATAAGGGGAGTGGTGGCGTGGTCTGGGATGCTCTGTCGACCTTGGGTCTCGGCTTCATCACAACCAGGCGCGCCAATAGAAGAGAGAGAGAGGAAGAGAGAGAGACAGAGAGAGAGAGAGAGGGAGCGAGAGAGAGAGAGAGAGAGAGAGAGAGAGAGAGAGAGAGAGAGAGAGAGAGAGAGAGAGAGAGAAAGAGAGAGAGAGACAGACAGACAGAGAGAGAGACAGAGAGACAGAGAGACAAAGAGAGAGAGAGAGAGAGAGAGAGAGAGTAAGTTACATTTATAAAGACAGGTAAGTCTAACAAATGAGGACTGAGACCTCTACAACACGGTTTTTACGCCTGAAAGCAGGTGCATGATTTAACAAGCAGGTTGTCAGTCTAGATTTTATGCGCAGATGGAGGAAAAAATGCGCAGAATTTTTGTGATGAGATGAAAAGCAGAAATAATAAGAAAAGATGAAATGAAAGCCTGCTAACAACCCCGCCCAGCCTTGCGAACTGGGTATGGTGGATCAAGAACCCGGTTCAACGCTCGAGCAAGCGCTCTCCACTCAAGGTGTTCGCAGCAACTGATAGGAACTCATATGGGGAAATTATAGAAAAGAAATAATAAGATAAAGAGAATAAATTTCAACGCACCTCAATAAACGGAGCCCCACATACAGTACCCCAGAAAAGTGGATCTTCCGACCAGTGTTTTTGTTGACGTCGCAACCAGATGATGTAGCTGCTTCGCAGAGACGTCTTACTGCACAAATTACAAATTAATTTTATTCTTCGGTTAGAAAACCCAAGCGCTTTCAGAGCCCATCGAAGAGAGACCGGGATGAAACCACGCACACCTACCTCAACCGAAAAAGAAACGACCTGCCACCCGTTTGCTCGGCATTGATCGGCCAGATCCGCATACCGCCTGTCCTTCCGCGAGTTACTGACACTGAATCTGTCCTCAGCACAAACTGTCAACTCCATCCAGAATACAATCCTACGACTCGTAGAGTACAGAACTATATCTGGTCTTAGGGTGGTAAGTGCAACACAGCTAGGGAAAGAAATCTTTGCACTAACTGAGTCGACAAGAAGTTTCCAGTCTGAGGCGGCTGGCAGGAGATCAGTCGTAGCCAACTTTCGTCTGGGCTGAACGCGAACTGGCTTCTCTCCCGCCTTGCAAAACGAGATGAAGTCAAGCTCATTTGAATTTTCGGTTTGTACAGTGTTTGCAGCAGTGCGGATTCGAATCTTCTCACGCATGTTCCTGACGATGACCCCGAGTACGTTGTCGTGCCTCCAGGTGTAACGTCCCTGGTTCAGCGCTACGCGACAAGCGCCAAGCACGTGGCGCGTAGTACAGGCCCAGGTACGGCACAAACTACAGTACGGATCCACTACGGTGTTTCCCCAACGGCGTAGGTTCGTCGGAGAAGGTAGCACATCGAGGGTTGATGTGAGAAGAAATTTCAAATCCTTACCAGTACCACCGTACAAAAGGGATTTCCACGAGAGGTCCTGCCACATCACCGATGTCCACTCCAACCACTTGCCTTGCACCTGAAAAGTCTTCAGCCTCAAAATCTGCTCCTGCGCGTTGATCTCCTCAAATGTTTAAAGGAGATCTTTCCTCGGGGGTTTGGAATGCTGCTTCGGAGCACGAGCACCCAACCCTGCGCGATGACTTGAAGATGACGGTCGACAGAGAGTCCCTGAACCTACTGATGCCTCTGCACACTCCAGCTCTATTGTCGCCGCATATCGCTTTGTCAGCTTCGCAGAGAGAGAGAGAGAGAGAGAGAGAGAGAGAGAGAGAGAGAGAGAGAGAGAGAGAGAGAGAGAGAGAGAGAGAGAGAGAAGAGAGAGAGAGAGAGAGACAGAGAGACAGAGAGAGTGAGTGAGAGAGAGAGAGAGAGAGAGAGAGAGAGAGAGAGAGATAGAGAGTGAAAGAGAGAGATAGAGAGAGAATGAGAGAGAGGGGAGGGTTGGGGAGCAAGAGAACTAAATAAGAGAACTAAATAAAGTATGAACTGAGAAGTTGCAACTTCATACATGAAGTATAATAAAAAAATGAGAGAGAGAGAGAGAGAGAGAGAGGGAGAGAGAGAGAGAGAGAGAGAGAGAGAGAGATAGAGAGAGAGAGAGAGTAAGTTACATTTATAAAGACAGGTAAGTCTAACAAATGAGGACTGAGACCTCTACAACAGGGTTTTTACGCCTGAAAGCAGGTGCATGATTTAACAAGCAGGTTGTCAGTCTAGATTTTATGCGCAGATGGAGAAAAAGCGCAGAATTTTTGTAATGAGATGAAAAGCAGAAATAATAAGAAATAATAAGAAAAGATGAAATGAAAGCCTGCTCACAACCCCGCCCAGCCTTGCGAACTGGGTATGGTGGATTAAGAACCCGGTTCAACGCTCGAGCAAGCGCTCTCCACTCAAGGTGTTCACAGCAACTGATAGGAACTCATATGGGGAAATTATAGAAAAGAAATAATAAGATAAAGAGAATAAATTTCAACGCACCTCAATAAACGGAGCCCCACATACAGTACCTCAGAAAAGTGGATCTTCCGACCAGTGTTTTTGTTGACGCCGCAACCAGATGATGTAGCTGCTTCGCAGAGACGTCTTACTGCACAAATTACAAATAAATTTTATTCTTCGATTAGAAAATCCAAGCGCTTTCAGAGCCCTCCGAAGAGAGTCCGGGATGAAACCACGCACACCTACCTCAACCGAAAAAGAAACGACCTGCCACCCGTTTGCTCGGCATTGATCGGCCAGATCCGCATACCGCCTGTCCTTCCGCGAGTTACTGACACTGAATCTGTCCTCAGCACAAACTGTCAACTCCATCCAGAATACAATCCTACGACTCGTAGAGTACAGAACTATATCTGGTCTGAGGGTGGTAAGTGCAACACAGCTAGGGAAAGAAATCTTTGCACTAACTGAGTCGACAAGAAGTTTCCAGTCTGAGGCCGCTGACAGGAGATCAGTCGTAACCAACTTTCGTCTGGGCTGAACGCGAACTGGCTTCTCTCCCGCCTTGCAAAACGAGATGAAGTCAAGCTCATTTGAATTTTCGGTTTGTACGGTGTTTGCAGCAGCGCGGATTCGAATCTCCTCACGCATGTTCCTGACGATGACCCCGAGTACGTTGTCGTGCCTCCAGGTGTAACGTCCCTGGTCCAGCGCTACGCGACAAGCGCCAAGCAGGTGGCGCGTAGTACAGGCCCAGGTACGGCACAAACTACAGTACGGATCCACTACGGTGTTTCCCCAACGGCGTAGGTTCGTCGGAGAAGGTAGCACGTCGAGGGTTGATGCGAGAAGAAATTTCAAATCCTTACCAGTACCACCGTACAAAAGGGATTTCCACGGAGAGAGAGAGAGAGAGAGAGAGAGAGAGAGAGAGAGAGAGAGAGAGAGAGAGAGAGAGAGAGAGAGAGAGAGAGAGAGAGGAGAGAGAGAGAGCGAGCTGGGAGGGTTGGGGGCAGGAGAGGGGGAGAGAACTAAATAAAGTATAATTATATAATGCGTAAGGGGTGCACATTCAGATCCAGAGAAAAGAGTAAGCAGGGCACGAAGCGTATGGCAATATGCAGCAGTGTGTGGGCAGATGTGCATACATCTTACAAAGTGTCAGTGGCCCAGTGCCATTGCTGGGCACGAAGGTGCCGGAAGGCAGACAATTTGAAACTTTGCAGCCGTTTCCGGTCAGGTGGCTGGCTGAGGACGGCGGGTGGCAGGGCATTCCATACAGGGACAGCACAGGCGGGAAAGCTCTACGGCAACTTTCCCGGCTATTGACAAGTAGCCCTGTCTCAAGCTGGTAGTTATGCATGTCGAGACGGACGAGAGAGAGAGACGAGTGGGTCAAACATGGGCTGGTCGGGGGGCTTGAGAGGGAGGCAAGAGCTGACGAAGTGGGCTGGTAGGATGGGAGCACAGTAGCGTGTAAATGTAGGTACACGCAGCTACCATGCGCCGGATAGAGAGGTTTTGCAGCATTGCCCCGGGGCCAATCAAGTCCCATCAAGTGGAGGGCTGAGCGTTGCGTCTGGTCAAGTCCCATCAAGTGGAGGGCTGAGCGTTGCGTCTGGTCAAGTCCCATCAAGTGGAGGGCTGAGCGTTGCGTCTGGTCAAGTCCCATCAAGTGGAGGGCTGAGCGTTGCGTCTGGTCAAGTCCCATCAAGTGGAGGGCTGAGCGTTGCGTCTGGTCAAGTCGCTGCAAGTGATAATCTGCTGCGCCCATCCAGACCAATGGGCAGTACTCCATTACTGGGCGTACAAACCCACGGTACACTATAGCTCGGCTGCGAGAATCCAGGAGCAGCGAGGCCTTCCGCAGGAGCCCGAGATGCTGGCGTGCTCTGATGGCGACGGTACTACTGAGGCAAGCTTCCACAGTGACGGTTGCCGGCCTTGGCGGAATGCTTTGCTGAAAAGCTGGGCCACAGGCCTGCACAGTTCCTCACAGCAGTGCTTCAACACTCGTCCTGGTACACCATCCGAACCAGTGGTTTTGCACGGGACAATCTTCCTCAGTTCACGGCATACCGTTTGTGGCTTAAAGTGGATGGTACTCAGACAAGCATCAGATTGTGGGCGGACATACGGGAGGTTGCTGGCATCAAGGTCATCACCAAGGCTGCATTTCGCTGAAAAGTAGCGGGCAAAGCTCTCTGCTTTGTCCTTACCGGTGGTGAGCTCCGCGTCGTTTTCCTCCTTGAGGGTAGGGATGTCATGGCTATGCCCACACCACCGGCACACTTGACAGTGGACCACCATTCACGACTGGATAAACAACCTGCTGCGAGCCTTCGACGGATGGCTGCTGTATGGGTATCTTCAGCTCTCTTAAGGCATGCTGAGGCAGTGGCTGTGGCTTGGGTATAAGCCAGTTGTAGTTGTGCATATGCAGGGTGCAGACGGAGTCGCTTCCATGCATTTCGCTTCCTCTTCGTGGCTTCGGTGCACTCTGGTGTCCACCACACTGGGTTGGTACTGTGCAGTTTGAGGCTCTTGGACGGGATGAACGTTGTCATGCCCTCAGAGATCTTGCCAGTCAGCCGCTCGCACGACAGGTCAATGTTGTCAGTGATGATAGAGTACAAGTCTGTTTGCCGGAAGAAGTGCTTTAAACGTGGCCAGTCAGCCAAATTATAGCGCCACACGTACCTCGAGGTTGGAGGCTCCCGGTGTGGTGGAGCACGCAGGAAGTCGGTGATCACACTGGCATGGTCAGAACGACCGAGAGGTGGGTGCACAGTAGACATGACCGGGGGGTCAAGTCGGAGCGTGTTGGTCGTGCTCGTGCTGGTCATTCCGAGTTGATAGATGATCACTTGATGGCACCAGACGATTCATCAGCTGGGCGTGTCTCAGTACGGATATTTGGTAGGCCACTTAGCAGATCCATTGCCTCATCATCAACCGCAGGTGATCGGGATGGTGGAGAAGTGGACTCATACTTGTCGAAATTCCATAGACGTGAGTGAGTACAAAGGTCTAGGCCAGAACTCTCTCGAATTTACTAGTACTGCGCTCTTAGCATCCAGAACGAGGCGTGCCGAGGAGGACCTTTCCTTTTTGAAAATTTTGCATTCGTAGATCTTGACGTTCACTTTGGCTTCACTTGCTCTGATGGTCACAAACTCAGCAATCTTATCAGGTACTGCACTGCACGAAAGATTGTCACACACTTCCTTCTGGCAGGCTTTCGTTCACAAATAAGTTCTCATACTCCACTGTCTTTGTTGTCATCTTCGAAATTGGAAAGTAAATCACTCTGCGCTGGGATGGAAGCATTTTTTGAATTTCCGAGCTGCGATACGATTGTGCTCTCAGGAGAGGAACAAGAACTGTCGACAGCTACGGAGGTCTCGGAGGTCGTGCGGTGGTCGCTGCCTGGAGTAACCGTATTTGTACTCGTTGATGTGGCAGCGCCACCAGGTCGGTTTTCTCTATTTTTGGCCTTTCTTGTTCGTTGTTTTTTGGTCGACTTTTTGGAAATTCCATCACCGTGATCAAATGCCGATGATCCTGCAGCTTTCAGAGACAGTTCTTCAACCTTCCGGGTGAGCAGATCAATCTTGGACATCAAACGCTTCTCTCGATCTGCTGCCTCGCGTCGCTCTCGCTGTATTTCGTCTACAATTTCGGCCAGGCCGTTTAGGCAATCACTACATTTGTTTGTAAGAACTGAGCTGGGCGAAGGACTCCCATATTCGTGCGGGTCAACCACTATACTAATACTACTTGTACTTGTCGCCATGGCCAGGGCAAAAAGACTCCTGACATGGGACAACCTTAAACAGAAAACTTTCACAAAAGGATGCAGAGCTCTCAAAACAGCATCCGCATCCCAGTCCGCAAAAAAAAGAGGCCGAAACTGATAGCAGGAGCAAAATACTCAATCTGCGGAGAGACCTGGTCAAGACCTGTTACGTCCTTTGTGGACTCATCAGCGCAGAACAGAGAAAATGAGGCCGAACCTGATAGCAATGAAAAATAGATTAACCTTCATGCCAAACAAGAGGGTGTCTCCAGCATGAATAATCATGAGCCTGTGATCGGTAATCAAGTATGACGTACATGTACTCAGTATGAGGTCATGATTATTATGATGTACACATATCACACATCAGAGAGGCAAGGACAGCAGAAGCGACCCGCGGTGTCGTGCGCCGTCAGAACGGCTACGTGTACTACTAGGTTGTTATGGCAGCGGAACACTAAATCTTAGTACTCATGAATAGTTCAATGGTGCCGATGTGCGTGCACTATTCGGCGCGCATCGGCAGCACCCTTGCCTCCAATAAACGTACGGAATGGCTTGCGACCCACAGGCTCTAGTAGTGCTGTGGCATGCCTGCAGACCTGCGAATGTACGTGCGATATGCCCTGCTGGACCAGCGGACTACCGGAATTAGGGCATACTCCGGGGCCCCTCGATCCGTTCGGCTTGAGATGGCGACCATCCTGAAACTTGAAGAGCGGTTGCTTGTCACTGCTTCATTTGCTGGACGGAACGTACGCCTCGAGGGCTCGGACGGGACATAAGGCTGGATCAGATTTAGCGATGCAGCGCTACCTCCCCGCCTGTTGTCAATTGAGAACTGCCGGAGTAGGGGCGAGTATTATTGTGCATTATTGTACACTATTGCTGGTACACACCCTATGTCACGCTTTTGTCCAGAAGCGCCATGCTAAGTAAACTAGTGTATTGGACCGGACGATGGCAATAGTTGCTGTTGCGCTATTCTCACGCTTTGAGAAAGTAAGCTTGCAGCGTCATCATCTTCTGCATACGCTCATAGTCACTGATTTGGAAGTTGAGCGTGCGCACCTACTTCTCAAACCGAGAAGTCGGCTGAGAACGAAAAACATTTGCGCCTAAATGCTTGCCAATTGTGAATGTCCGTGCACAGCTTTGGGATGGCCAACAACTCGAAAGCCCTTCTCTGATAGACCCATAGCCCATTGCTGAAGAGTAGTCTTGTAGTCCATCTCGTCCGACCTTGAACGTCACTTTTTTGAAGGTCGGCTCCCGGAGTAGATGTTATTCAAGCGGGCCTGGACAGACACACAGATCAATAGACAGCGGGCGGCGAAGCCTTGGTTCCGTGGAGCCGTAGCATGCAGCGGTAGTGTCTGTAAGCAATTCTCCAGCGGGTGTTATATGCCCGGTGGGATGTTATGCGAGCGGGGCTAGCGACCCTGGATAGACACACAGAACAAAATATACAGTGGGCGGTGAAGCGTGGGCTCGCGGATCCATGTCTGTAGGCGGTGGTGTCTGTAGGCGGTGGTGTCTGTAGGCGGTGGTGTCTGTAGGCGGTGGTGTGTGTAGGCGGTGGTGTGTGTAGGCGGTGGTGTCTGTAGGCGGTGGTGTCTGTAGGCGGTGGTGTCTGTAGGCGGTGGTGTCTGTAGGCGGTGGTGTCTGTAGGCGGTGGTGTAGGCGATCATCCGACGGGAGGTGTACATGTTGAATATTTTCACTTCACCACACATTTCCACGGCTGAAAGAACATCCCAGAATGTTTCTAAAGCCCTTGCGTGGCATGTTGGCACAGCACGACGGCAAACCCTATGGGCACGTGATGTCATACCTCCGATGTCAGCTATCCTTTGCCGTACTTCGCCAAACCATGGTGTGCGTAAGAAGAGCGCGCTCCGCGAAACATTGCCCTATCAATGCCTTGCGCCCCTTGGCGATAGACTTATCCTGTGACAGTGCTCGCTTCATTGCATTTTCCTGTGTTTGAGTAGGGTTCCAATTTTTCTATCGCATTCTTGCTTTCATGCAATTGTTTTCATTGCTTGACTTGTGTTCTATTCCTCCTATTACGGTTTACCGCCTGGTATGTTAG